TTCTTTTCTGGCTTCTTGTTAAACCTCCTAGACACCATTGCCCTTCCTGCTAAACATACTATTCCTCGTTACTTTCTTCTTTATAATCAGCCCAGTTTTAATCAACAACTCGCTTCCTAAGCCGATCATGAACACTTCTATTTTTTAAGAGCCAATCCATATTATTATGATGATACTTATCTCGAGCATAGATAGACCGGTGGTTGGTTTGAGGTTGCCTAAACTTACAATATTGCTTACTGCACTCGGGACAATTATTTCTAGTAGCCAATTTTAAACCTTCATTCCAACAATGTCTGAAGAAAGGATAATTCTAATGTGATTCAGCTTGCTTTCTTTCATATCTCTCTTTCTCTTGTTGACGCTGGTATTCTTTCTCTTCTAACCAACGCTGATAATCCTTTTCCTTCTGCCGCTGCCATTTATTCAACAAAATTTGAGATGTAACACACGGCCTTGTCGCCCCATCCCTTGATGTCTCTTCCTGCTCATATCGGCTCTTCTATTGGTCACGATGCCTTTTAATCTCTCTATATTCATCAGCTGACATTTGCATCGTTGGGTCGATGGTTTCGGCTTCTTTGGCCCTAGTTGATGTTAGGACTTTAGTCTTCTCTTTGAGCAACCTAGCATCAATCATGTTCTGATCTCTTGGGAAAGGATTATCATCAACTTTTATCTTTCGAGGTGTATCAAATTTGAGCCTCCCTTGCTGAATAGCCCTCTGTATATGTTGCCGGAAAACTCTACGCTCATTAGTAGAATGAGAAGTAGCATTGTGAAATTTGTAGAACTTTTTATTCTTCAACTGATCAGGAGGCAACATAACATGATTGTCGGGCAACTTCATATGTCCTTTCTCAAGCAAGAAATTGAAGAGCTTGTCTGATTTCGTGACGTCGAAATCATAGCTCTCTTCAACTCCTTTTCCCCAATAACTTGGCACCATCACTATCTTTTTATCCTAATTCCATTCGGCCATAGCAATTTCTTATTCTTCGTCGTCCTCATAGCCGTCATCAACTGAATATGGATTATAGGCTTCGGCAATTGTGGCGTTCTTTTGGAATCGGGTATCTCTGCGCATATTCTAGAATTGGCTATTAAGTGCTGTCACTCGTTGAGCCAACTGACCTAAATTGTCAAATTCTTGCCCGAGCAGCTTCTCTCTCCACGTTGGCAACATTCCTTGAACGGCCAAAGCAGTTAGCTGATCATCAGTTAGATTTAATGAGAAGCACAAATTTCTGGTCTCTCGAAATCTCTGAAAAAACTTGGTGCCCGATTCATTAGTTCTCTGCCTTATGGTCATCAAATCGGTAATTTTATTTTCTCCTGTTCCAGTGTAAATATATGTATGAAACTTCTTCTATAGGTCAGCCCAATGAGCAATGGAGTTAACTGGCAGCGATAAAAACCAAGTGAAGGCTGGTCCTGACAGGGATAAGGAGAAGAAACGAACTCGATGGGCCTCTTCAATGGATGCTTCGCCCAACTATGTAAGATACTGACTGGCATGTTCTATTGTGCTTGTGCTATCTTGGCCAGTGAACTTAGCAAACTCCGAGAGCCTGTAATTTGTAGGAAGAGCGACCAAATCATACCACTCTGGATATGAGCGTTTGTACGAGAAGGTCTACCAATTTAGCTTCAAACTGAACTGATTCTTCATCATCTCAGTCACTTAAGCAATAACTCATCAGCATTTGAATTTAGATTTCTCTACAATTGCTGACCCATCTATGGATTAAAATTTCGGGTACCTTGATACCCTAGATTTGGAATCATGTGAAGGGTATTGTAATCTGTGCCATAATAATATCCTTGTGGAATCTCTATCTGTTGGGTCCTTTGCTGGTTTGCTGCTTGAAGTCTCGGGTTGTAGATGCTGGGATCTGTATCTCTACAAATTCTTTGGACCGATGACGCTATTTTTTGAGCCGACAACGATATTTGGTCTGATGTGCCAAAATTGACCATTTGATTCTGAATTTGCCCCATCGGCTATTGCACATGCTGCATCGACGATTCAGGATTATACTGCACCTGATTAGTAGTAGCACCCTAAACTTGCTCAGATGAGCTCTAAACTGCCTGGACATCATCATTACCAGCTGGTGCTGCTTCTTGATGGCTAGTACCGGCTTGATTAGTCCCCTGAGTCGACAAATGTGGAATATTGTAATAAACCGGTCCAACTTGATCAATTGGATATCCATGAAACACCTCTTTCATGGTGTCGTGGAATGTGTTTAAGAAAACTATATTATGGTTCAATATGGCATCATGAACAGATTTATTTACAGCCTCTACGAAGAAATGCCTATCTTCAGCTTCGTCTGTATCTGACTGCCCATGCAACAGAACTCTTGGTAGTGGATATTTCTGAATAACTTTATTGTCACGTGTCTTGGTGTAGAACAACAAACACTTGTTCTAAAATTCTTCTATAGCTTTACTGATGACATGTTTATCCTCATCAGGTAAGTCTTTATGAGACACCATAAGAATGTCACTGTCGTTGTAAGTCACCATGACAATTGTGAGGTCCCACCAGGCATGCCAGAACATGTGTCGGTACAAAAATATGTCGATGCGCCTGACATACAGCAAGCTAGAAGGATCTGCTTAGGGTGAGCCCGAAGATCCGCTTGGCTTCAATCACAGGATCCGTCGACCCTGCGAATTCCTTCCGAGGGCGTGCCAGTCAATTTGACCTATAATTGACAAGGAGAGAAAGCTTATTAGTAATTTAAGGTAGAACATGCCGGTCTTGCCCAGACAGTTCCAAGTGTGCCGCTTCGGGAGCAGCTAGACGGGAAAATCGACTAAATAGCTGATACGCAAAGAAATCGACTGTTACATACTGTAAAGTTCGTGGGTTACGATTGATTATATGATGACAAGTATAATACACGCAGATGTAAGTAAAATCATCAGCTAGGTGGATATTACCAGCGTGAAGCATTGAGCCGATAACTTGACCTTAATCTAATTCGAGCAGTGGAGGTCGAACTTAACCGATGCAGCCGTACTTGAACTAGATAAAGATCGATAACTAGCTTATGCTAGAACTCGCAGTAGAGGTTGAACTTAACCGATGCAGCCTTACAAACCAAAGCATAAGCCATGACGGTACTTACAGATAAGCCGGAGGTCGGCCGGACCGATGCAGCCCTGCTTGTTGAAGAACCCGCCGAGACCTACACTACTCCTACTCTTAACGGTTGGCGTAAAGCCGAAAAAGTATTTTGTATTGATTGATTGGTTATTCTTTACAATAGCCGAGGTCTAATATTTATACCCGGAATCTAAGCATGAATCATATTCAAGTACGACTCATTACAATCTTTGGCATAAGAGAAAACACTACTAATTTAAGATAACTTGGACCATAATCTTTCCCTTTTTGTAGAGTCCGACGTGTCTTTCCCGACGCCAACCGTAGCTTATTATCGTTATCTGCTGACGTCATCTGAAGAGAGCCGATTCCAGCACTGCATCTGAATCAGCTGATATCGACTCTTATGCAATCGATTACTTGATGACACAATCTTAAAAGCTTCGAGTTCCCACGTTCTTTTTCTCAAATTTTGGTGTAAACACATACATAAATACATCGAAGGGCAGCATGCATTTACATGTATTTAGCATGCCAGCGCACTTCTGAATAATGAAGTGTGATGAATGCTGAACAGATTTAGTTATGTTTCAGTTGTGATGAGTAGGACCGAGACTAGATCTGAACAGTGATTTCAGAGTCATTTGAGTTTTCTCGTTTCTCCTTCATTGCCCACTGTTGATTACAGATCAAGAGTAGAAATCCACTTTGCTGCCTTTTGTTGTCTGTGCATTGTTGTGTCTAGCTCTAGCCAGAGTCGCTACAAAGTATGACCCGCAGTAGTTATTTTTGCAGTACATAACTACTACACCTAAAACTGCAAATTGGAACGCAATGTCTTCACTGAAAAGTGAAAACAAATGTAGATCAATTAGTCAGTATGTCCTTTCACATCTGATGGTTGAAATTTTCAGTTGCAATACTAGAATCTGCTGGCTTCATCGAAACTGATTCATAAATTTTGAGTTCACTTCAATACGTTGATGCTAGTTTTGTCACATGGTACTTATTGCTGTATTCCGTGTATATCTGGTAGCTTGGTTTTATCTTTCATTTGCATTTCTAGTAGGGCTCAATTGTTTTGGTTAAATGAACATGTCCTATTGTTTCTTAAAAGGGTTGTGAGGGGATACGGTTGGCAAAGATGAGGCAGCAGGAATTTTACATTTTATACCAAAAATAGTAGTTTGGCCACACATGTTTGGTTATCTTAAATCTTCTTCTGATGCCTAGTATGTAGATATTCCTCCTTATCTACTGGGCACTCTTAGAGAAAATTTATATTGTAAAACTTCAGGTCAATCTACTTTGCTTAACTCTAGCATCTACCTAGTTTTGAACTAGTTTGAACAATTGAGGAACAATGTAAAGTGGTAATCTTCCATTCCAAATAAAAGGCTAGAAGTAAAATGATTATATTACTCTAGTCGTTATTATTGAAGCATGCAAGTATCCTAAAGTTTTGTATGTGTCCAAATTGACATGTTTTAGTGCCTGTACTGAAAAAGGAACATTTTGTAGCCTAATATTCTAAAATTTTGAACCTAATGTATGACTGTAACTGTAATAGATATATTCGCAACATAAGAATGACCTTTTTAACAATTTAATGAAGCAGAATGGAGGATAATCTACCAGTTAATGTTCGGGAATACCAAGAACTCGCCAAGAAAGCACTACCAAAGATGCACTATGATTATATCAACGGGGGAGCAGAGGATGAGTATACACTGAGGGAGAATATTGCAGCATATGGAAGAATTTTGTATTGTTCGCCTCACCAATACTTTTAAACCTCATTAAGAAGTGGGTCCTTACTTTTTGGCATCGATTACACAGGTTACGGCCACGAGTCCTTATAGATGTAAGCAAGATAGACATGTCAACAAGCTTATTAGGATATAATATGCCATCACCAATAATTGTCGCTCCTACAGGGTCACACAAATTAGCAAATCCAGAAGGTACAATATCAAGTCATCCAAGTTTTAAATGATAAAACCTGCTATGTATCTCCACAGCCCTTGGTTAAATGTTCATTTCAGGGGAGGTGGCCACAGCAAGAGCTGCCGCAGCATGTAACACCATAATGGTAACTGCTGAATTTGTTTTTGGGGATCATCTGGTGAAGTACTCGTCTTTAGGCCCTCTGTAGATTGTTACACGTGTTCATATATGTCACACAAGTGCTTTCCTTCTCATCAAGCTGCAGAATCGAGGAGGTTGCCTCCAGTTGCGATGCCATTCGCTTTTATCAGCTATATGTATAATGCATTGGCATTGATCTTTTTTTAGTAAATTTCCCTTTCTGGTACTACCTGATTTATGAAATTTTTCGTTGTGTACCTTAGGTGTACAAGAGAAGGGATGTTTCGGCAACATTGGTACACCGGGCTGAGAGTTTAGGATTCAGGGCAATTGTTTTGACAGTTGACACGCCTGTGCTTGGCAGGCGTGAAGCTGATATCAGAAACAAGTATAGTGCTTGTATCTTTGTTAAAATCTCCCAAAGTTCAGCGAAATTATGTTCTTTTACAATTCATAATTCCAGTTTCCTAACCCATTGCCACTGAAGGTTAAAATTTTAAGCTACTATCTTCTCATACCATACCGTAGATCGTCGATACAGTTATGCAGAGCATTGCAATAGATTCAACATCACAATGTTGCAAAAATTTTCCCTTTTCTTTCATCTTGAGATGTTCTGTAACTGACCTGATTGTTCATGCAGGATGATTGCTCCACAGTTGTCAAACCTGGAAGGTTTAATGTCATTAGACGACTTTGATGGTGGTGTGAGTGAAAACCACTTATTTAGAACTACAAAAATTTAGTGGATGAACTCCTTTCCTTTCTGAAAAACTGAAGCATTATCGTCTTGCAATCTTTATCGTCTTGTTAGGAAGGCGGCTCCAAGCTGGAACGATTCGCACGGGAAACGCTGGATCCATCATTGTCATGGAAGGTACGTCCAGATAACACAGAGCAGCCGGTAGCCATACCATAAATTTTCTCGAATCTTGAATTCCATAGCATGTGGTCCGGCATCGACAGTTATGAGATGCGTGGACGCATCAACATCGAGCATAAGGGCTGTACGATGGATACTGAAAGACTGTTCTTTGAACAGCCGTATGGCACTCTATATAATAACATGCTGGTATAGCGACGGTGGCCTACGTACTGGCCTTGGATCACTGTACCAGCGACCTTGCCGTGATGGGCCGTCTTGCTGTTGCCGGCAATTTTTTTTGATAATGGAAAGAAAAATCCGGCTTCATCCTCTTGGAAGAGGAATCAGGCGAGTGGTTGATGATGGCCTGATGGGGTGTGTTTTTTGCTGAATTTGTTCGTGCAGGACGTGGAGTGGCTCAAGTCCATCACCAGCCTGCCGATCCTGCTCAAGGGCATCGTCACCGCCGAAGACGGTAATGAATAATAACTAGCTTAATACTCTGTCAGTGTTGAATTGCTGGCAATGCATGGTGCTGAACCGGAGAACTAGTTAGTCGTATGGTCACTGTCTGTGTCACTGAACTGAACTCTGATGACTCGGCGGCAGCGGCGTTGGGCAGCGAGGAAGGCCGTAGAGGCAGGGGCGGCCGGCGTGATCGTGTCCAACCACGGCGCCCGGCAGCTGGACTATGCGCCGGCCACCATCTCGGCGCTCGAAGAGGTAATTGGCCGCCGGTCGGCCGGCCACATTTATCCTCCTGGGTCCTGGCCCGCGCCACACATGCAAGCGCAACGGATGGGCTGGACCCGAACCCGATCGCTGCATCATTGCATGTGTGGGACGGTGGGCGTGCTGTTATTGCGACGTGCGGCGGTAGCGGCTATAAACTGACAAAGGACCGCCGGGGTCGGGGTGTCGTGTTGTGTGCTGCATTGCAGGTGGTTAAGGCGGTGGCGGGGGCCGTGCCGGTGCTGGTGGACGGTGGCGTCCGGCGGGGCACCGACGTGTTGAAGGCGCTGGCGCTGGGCGCCAAGGCAGTCATGGTACGTACGTACGCAGCTCCTCTCCTCTCGCCGAGCAAGGACTTGCTGGGCATGCACGCGCAGTTTCGGAAGAGGAACCGAAACGTGGACAGTTGGTTGGTTCGTTCGTTCGTTCTGACGAGGATGAGCGCGTGCGTTTGCAGGTGGGGAGGCCAGTGGTCTACGGGCTGGCGGCGCGCGGGGAAGCCGGCGCGAGGCACGTGATCGAGATGCTGAACAAAGAGCTGGAGCTGGCCATGGCGCTCTGCGGCTGCCGGAGCGTCGCGGAGGTCACCAGGGCGCATGTCCAGACCGAGGGCGACCGGATCAGGGCCCTGCTGTGACTGTGAGTCTCTGAGTGAGGCTGCGACCCAGCGAGCGACCAATCTGGACGGACGAACTGAATCCATATATACTAATACTATACTACACAAGAGTCCGACCATCGTGCTGTCAGGGTTGCGATATATGATTATATGAACGTGAGGGCATGTGATGTGACAAATCAGGGTGTTCGGCTAGTCATGTTACGGCTTGTTTCAGCTTATTCTCTCTCACATAACACTATTAAATTATTTAAAACCATCCAAAACTCACTGTGTAGTGCATCAGCCAAACATGATCCAACTTACTATTACCAGAGCCTGGGCTAGATTAAGCTTTCAGTGATTACCTGCTCAACATATCTTGTGAGTTATTTTTCAGCCATGGAACAATGTTTTTCTCTCACAATATTTCAGTATAAACATTAGCATAAACCAAATTTCAGCATAAGCGAACACGTGAGAACATTATCATGGAGCAAGTCTGGTAGATGCTTTGCTGCTGAGAACGTGTGGGTTCACTTCGCTTGGTCTTCACTGGTGGATGCTTTACTGTCGTTGGTGCTGGTTGTGCCTGTGCCTTTTATGGGTAGATGCTTTGCCACCACGGTTTTGTCTATCTTGTAGGTGATCTTTGCGTTTGATTCTTTTGTTGCAGGCTCGGTTGTAGGTCTTGGGTGTTGAGGACAATTGCGCTTTCCCCTTCTTTCTCTCTTCCTATGTTTATTCTATGTCATTCATCACTAGCTTGATGGTTTGTAATATGTGCTATGAGGGTTCTCTAATAGCTGTGTCGTGTAATTTACTCCTCTTAATGAAAAACAGACTATATTCCCCGGTCGCAAAAAAAAATATCATGAAGCAAGTAGTAACATTTCAAGCTCTACCCTCCAAGTGACACAAAATTACTTCTTCATTTGCTTTCCATATGCATTTCATGTAAACCTCTTCTTCATATTCTCCATCAAGTGCCTAACTACAATGGTCACCAACGCGTCGTCTCGGACCCTCACGTCATCTCGGGCAATTCGAGGGGTGCCCGACCGCCGTGGCCGAGGCCTGTACCGTCCGACCGCAGCGAGCGGCGACGACGGGCAGCGGTGGTGCCCCTAAAAAGCTACGCCTATACAATACAACACGAAAGATTCCAAATCAAGAACCCTAGCGGCACAAATCAAGAATAGTGGAATTCAAACCGCACAGATCCAACCTTATAACTACTCAGGAGAATAGGGCTCCATATCTCACATTTAGATCCTGTTTGGCACAACTTCATCACTGGCTCTTTGAGCTGTTTGGAGTCGTTTTGCGCCAAACGATGTACAACAAAATAGCTCCACCTTCAGAATATGGATAAATTCTGAGATGATCTTGCACGGGCAACATATCTTTCTAGATCATCATAAGCATATATGTTTTATGAGTGAAGTGCATCGGCAGTCCTCGAATTTGTTCGGCTGTGTCATCCCGGTCCCTAAACTTGCAAATCGACCGTTCAAGTCATCAAACTTGTTTATCTGTGTCATCCCTGTCATTAACTCTCAAATCGCTTCTTTAGGTCCTCAAACTTGTTCGGCTTAGGTCCCTAAACTTATGAATCACCCGTTTAGATCCGCAAACTTATTCAGTTGTGTCATCTGTGTCCCTAAATATTGTAAACTTGTAAATTCAATATATATTTATAGAACTGTCCAAAAATTATAAATCTAATTTTGTTAGACTCTTGGTAACATATACTTTAAATTAGAATAAAAGAAATCACAATGTATTTTCTATTATAAAAATATACATGACTATTTAGTCATGTAACTACAGAGTTAAAAATAGAAAGTACATGATGATTTCTTCTATTCTAATTTAAAGTACAAGTTACCAAAATTAGACTCATAATTTTGGGATAGTTCTATAAATATATATTGAATTTATAAGTTTACAATATTTAGGAACCGGGATGACACAACTGAAAAAGTTTGAGGACCTAAACGAATGATTTGCATGTTTAGGTACCTAGATGGTACAGTCGAATAAGTTTGAGGGCATAAACGAGCGATTTGCGAGTTTAGGAATCGGTATAAACGAGCAATTTGCGAGTTTAGGAATCGAGATGATACCGATAAGTTCGAGGACCTAAACGGTCGATTCACGAGTTTAGGGACCGGAATGACACAGCCGAACAAATTCGAGGGCCGCTAGCGCACTTTATATTATAGACCAACACATATCATGACTTTGCACAACTACTTTTGCAACATCCAGATGAAACACATGAAACATACTGTCGGTGTTTCAGACCGGGGGGTCCTCAACCAACCAGTGAATTTGAACTGCGTGCCCCTAATCCCGGATGGTGATGTAAAGAGACATAAGGTTTATACTGGTTCAGGCAATTGGCGCCCTACGTCTAGTCTGAGAGATCGATCTTGTATTCCTTGCACCGAAGTGCTTGTGGTAGGGAGTTACAAGCTGGGTGAGAGAGGGAGCTAGTCCCAGGTCTCGGCGTGGAACGGTGCGGGCTGCTTGAGACGTTGCTCTCGGACAGCTTGTGAAAGCATGCGTTACAGAGTGTTGCTTGTGTGTGAGAGCATGGTTTTTTCCTAGGTTTTTCTGTCTCCCCCCAGAGCTATCCCTGGCTGCTTCCTTTTATAACCACAAGGAGGGAGCCAGGAGTATACGAGTGAGCTACATGTGGAGCCTACTGTAGTTCAGTCCTGTAGCAGCATGGTGTTGGGAATAGCGATCGGTACTTGACTAACGCGCCGTGCTGGCCAGGCTTGAGGTTTGTTGAGGTCGTGGGGGTCCTTGTTGATGTCTAGTCAGTATGGCCTCCACGGCAGGAGACATGCCGTGCCTCGTGCATTCTTGATTTGGTGGAGTGCCGAGGCCTAGCGGGTGCTGTAGCTGATCATGCCAAGGCCTGCTTCGCCGAGGCCTCGGAGGTGACCGGTGTATGGTGCGGGGGTCTCGGTGGTCCGCGTCGTACCCGGTTCAGGTGGAAAAGCACAGAGCGGATGTCCACAGGGCACGATAATCCCTGCACCGTTAGTAGGGGATGGTAAAAAGGAGATTTGACTGCCGTCCCATCGCCCCTGTTGCTGTACCCTGCCCATCGTGGCTGACGTAGTAGGTGTGATCAGGCGCACTTACACGGATGGGACGGCTCGCCAGAGGAGCGGTTTGAGGTGGAGACGACGAGGATGCGGGACGAGCCCGGCCTCGGCCGAGGCGAAGAAGGAAAAGTACGTCCGAGGCCCTACCGGGGGGTCTCGGACGAGGCGGAGGACGAGCAGTTGGTCTTTCCTGCTGTTTCCGAGACTACAGGGACATGGACTTGACCTTCCACGCCGCTTTGTCCTTGGCGCAGGGGTTAGGTAGCACAGGGCAGTACGGGTGTCAGCAGGGGGCACAGTGATGAGCACAGTGGCAGGTAACCCCTGCTGCGCCTGGCCCTCTGTCCCGTCAGTCGTTCTGCCCGAACTATGCCAGTGTGCGGCTAACGTTGTGGGAGTACTTGGGCACATTAATCTGGACGTGATGTTTTGTCAGAGGAGCCAGTTGGGGTGGAGATGACGAGGTTGTTTGCCGAGCCTAGCCTCGAGCGAATCGGAGAATTGGCATCCCATCCGAGGCCTTGCGGGGCGGGGCCTCGGCGAGAGGGCCTCGGCAGGGCGGAGGGCTTTGGCCTTTCGTCCGAGGCCTCGGTGCAAGCCTGGAGCGAATTCGAGACCTCATGGTTGTCCTTTGGCTTTGATTTTTGCAAGGCGTAAGCAATATTTTCGGTTCTTGCTTAGGGTACCCCTTCTTGTGGTATCCGACAGTAGCCCCTGTGAAAGATCCTTGTTTGGTTTTGGTAATTGAGTGACAACCTAGGTGGACTAATTGTGTTTATATGAGATACACAGGTAATTAGTCCATAGGTACATGTGTGTGAGCAACATATGCCATGAAGGTGAAAATGGCTTAGAGATGTTGCAAAGCTCACACATGTGATGATGAAGGAGCTTAACGCACATGAGACATGACATTGAGTCATGTGATCAAGGTGGAGAAGATCAAGACAAGACTTGGCTTGATGGACCGATTGCAAGCGTGAAGGGCAAGTCGAAGGCTTTGGAGTGATGGACCGCGTGGCGGTGAAGCTTGAGCAAGACTTGGCGCCGATGGACGATGGCAACGGTGAAGGGCAAGTGAAGTCAAGATCGATGAACCAATATGATCACATGATGATATGAAGTGGATCATATCATTGTTGATAGTGTTGGTGCATGTGTTGCATCGACATTGGAGGAGATGGAATGGAATGCGCAAGGCAAAGGTATAACCTAGGGCATTTCATTTCACCGGTCATAGGTGTGTAGAGAAGTTGATGACCGGGTTTAGGATAGATGGCCGTACTATCAAGAGGAGCAAACTTGTTTGCATATTGGTCATCTAGTGCCACTCGAGTGATCTAACTTTGCATCGTCGCTAGGATCGAGTGGCGTGGCAAGTTGAGTGGCTAACATCCTTTGGGAAATGATTGTGAAAAGCTAACACACATACACATGGTGGTGTACACTTGGTGGTGTTGGCACATTTACAAAAGGAGGTGGTGTTTACAGGTGCTTTCGGGAAAATAGAATGCCTATTTTCTATTGCGCCGGATGCAAGTTCTTGTGGTTAGCACATTGGAGCAAGGGTGATGAAGTTAGAAGTGAAAAG